ATTGGTACTTCCTTGTAGGTACTGACTTTCTTTCTCGTTGACTTGATTCTTGTGATCCTCTAGTCTGCTTTTGGGAGTCTGTATAATATTCTTTATTTCAGTCAGTGTATCTTAATTTCTAGTTGGTCCTTTATCACAACCTCGAGTGTCTCACTAGATTTCTTGAAGGTCTCATTAAGTTTATCGGCAGTTTTTAGAAAATTCTTGAAAAACCTTAAAAGTGTGGTTTTGAACTCTATATCCAGTAGTTTGCTTTCTTCCATTTCTGTCATTTGTGACCTGTTTCTTTCTCTCCACATTTTTTATGCTTCCCTGTGTTGACAGAGTTGCTGTCTCTGTTAGGTGTCCTAAAGGGCCCAGTGGCTCAGTCTCCCCAATTACCTGAGGTGGACACTCTTGGTGCACCCCTTTGTGGGTTTTGTGCACAGTCTTGTTGTAGTTAAGCCTTGATTGTTATAGCTATCACTGGGAGGAAATGATCTCCAGGCCAACTGGCTCTGAGAATCAGCTGTGTCTATAGTGGGAGAACTTCTGTGCTGGAGACACCCTTCTGGGGCAAGACTTGCTTCAGTGGGGCTTTGGTGCTCACTGCGTCTGCCCCCTGAGTGTGTCCCTTATGTATGTGAGGAGGTGTAATCTGGATGGTCCCACTCTGAGCACTGGGTACACTGGCTCTTGGATCTCTAAGGAGGTGCTAATTTAGCCTCTGCCTGAGGCTACCCAGCAGGAGCTATGGAGAAATTTGCAGATTCTTCTTCTATGTTTGGGGTTTGGAGGTGCCCTGCTGAGGCCCAGCTGTGAAGCAATGCAAGCTGCTGTGGGGCCTTGGGCCTTCTTTTGGATGTTCTGGGTCTCTCTGACCCAGCTGCAGTTTTTTTAGGTAATTTTAGATTGCAAAGGGCCAGGTCATTCATATGCAAAAGCCTCTGGGTGGGGTGGCTCTCAGGGAATCAACAGGGCGGAGCAAACAGCTATGGCTGATCCTCAGCCCTGCCCTAAGAGGCCCGGGGTCTCAGTGTCCCGTGGTAATTGCTGCAAGCACCTCTGAGAGAAAGCCACCCTTGAGTTCCGCCTGCTGCCAGACAGTCCAGTTTCCCCCAGTGTGAGTCTGGGTCCCCAGAGACTACCCCGGAACTGGAGTTCAGAGCGTGAGCGTGTGTCTTCCTCCTGATTGAAAAAGACAACCGTGTCCTCAGTTGCCAGCCCTTTCCACACGCGCCTCCGTACCTCTGCACTATACTTCCGCACCTCCTCTTTGTCTCAGTGTGCTTTTCTCTTTCCTTCTAGTTGTAGAATTTCTACTCAGCCAGCCTTCCTGTGGTTCTGGATGATGTCAGTTTTGTCTTTTAGTTGTATCTTTGAAGTGGTTGTGCGAGGCAGCAATTTCCAGTGTTTACCTATGCCGCCATCTTGGTTTCTCCTCTAAAAAGGTTTCTTTTATTGAGCAAGAAAATGAGTGATTATTCAAATTACTAGGATCAAACTTGAAAGATGGGTCATCATTACTATCCTTTTTTTTTTCATTCCTCACCCAGGGTCATGCTTAGAGAGAGAAAGGTAGGGAGAGCAGAAAGAGAAACATCTATGTGAGAGAGAAAGAGATAGGTTGTCTTCCCGACCCGGGATCAAACCCCACAACCCAGGTATGTGCCGTGACTGGGAATTGAACTAGCAACCTTTCGGTGCATGGGGGACAACTCTCAACCAACTGAGCCATTCTGGCCGGGCATTACTATCATTCTGAAAGAGATAAAAAATATTGTAAAGGAAGAATAACAATTACATTCCAATAAAATTGATACTTTATGACATGGGAAAATTCCAGGAAAGATATAAGTGACGAAAATTGACTCAAGAAAAGTAGACAATCCAAATAGATCTATATAATAAGTAAAATAATTGGATTAGTAGTTAAAACACTATCCACAAAGAAAAGCTTAGGCCCAGATGATTTCACTAGCCCTACAAATATTAAAAGAAAAGTTAATACGAATTCTTCACAGACTTGCCAAAAAAAGGAAAAGATTTAATTTGGGATATGTGTGCTCTGTACACTGGTGGGGTGGAGAGGGTGACAGGAGCATCAGGGGAAGGCAGTGACTGGAGAATTAGGGATCCTTGCTTTAAATAGAAACCTCTTTTCATATAGTGGCTTCCTGTATTTATTAACCTGCATTTAGTTCATAAGACTTCAATTTATACACCTCCTTAAGTAATATTGTATTACCTGAGTGAGGTAAACCTTTAAAGACAGATCCCACTGATGATTGAATCTGAATTAATTACAAAATAGTGATGGTTTTGAGTTTATAAGAGAATAGTAAATACTGGTTGTATTAATTGGTTCTGATAATATTGCCAGTCTGAAGGCAAAAGTAAATTCTCTGTTTTCTTGTTTTTAATTGTTCTCATTTTTAGTGTTATGATCTAATATAAGAATACTAGTATAAAGTATCCTTACATGTTCCTTGTACCATTTTGGTTAAGGTTAGAGTACAAGCCAGGGTTAAATTTGCTGATTCTGTTTTTATTTGTACATGTTTTGTTTCATTTATGGTTTTTTCTTCTTTACATCTTAACTAACACTTTTTCCAGGGGACTTTATTTACATTTATATAGTATATTTGTCAAAGATCATATGTATAGATCTCATTTGAGTCTCATAAATTTTTGAGTTTGGTATGTTAGCTCTTATCCTCTTTTTCTTTGTATGTATGTACACATAGGGGTTTTGAGTGTGTGTGTGAATAACTTTTTTGTTAACTACTATAGGAAGCTGGTTGTTCAGATTGTTGTTATTGCAAGTGCACACACAACCATATATTCATACAAAATGATAATAGTAATAAAAGCTAACATTTATTGAGTACGTATCAGTAAGTGTGACCAGAAATTGTTCTAGCTAAAATCTACATTATTTGAAGACATTTGAAATTTACAGCTGTTCTTGATCTTAAGTTAGGATAGTGGTTCTCAACAAAGATGGGCAATTTTGACCCCCAGGGAATATCTGGCAATGTCTGGAACATTTTGTATTACCATAACTGGGGAGTATTATCATCTCAGAGGGTAGAGGAGCCGTGGGTAAACTACGGCCTGCGGGCCGGATCTGGCCCGTTTGAAATGAATAAAACTAAAAAAAAAAAAAAAAAAAGACTGTACCCTTTTATGTAATGATGTTTACTTTGAATTTATATTAGTTCACACAAACACTCCATCCATGCTTTTGTTCCGGCACTCCGGTCCAGTTTAAGAACCCATTGTGGCCCTCGAGTCAAAAAGTTTGCCCACCCCTGGGGTAGAGACTAGGGATGCTGCTAAACATCCTATAGTGCACAGGATGGCGTCCTACAAGTTATCTGCCACGAGCAGTTGTCCCATTAGCTTTCTCCCGTTGCACTCGTTCAGTGTAGATGACGTATTTCTTCCTGTAAACCTGGACTACTTTGCCAATTTGCTGCCCTTTGTAATGTCCTCGAACAACCTGAACCTCGTCATCCTTTCGGATGGGCATGGACCGAACATTGTACTTCTGTCTCAGCTCTTTGGAAAGAGGAGACGACATGATCTTCCTCCGAATGTGGGAAGGTGCATTGAAATGCCTTTTACGGTTCTTGCTCCGGTCAGAAGTCACAAAGGGGTTGAACTTCATTTTGACCGCTGGAGCTCCTACGATGGCCGCAAGAGGGAAGAGAGCCACAAAATGTTAATAGTGCCAAGTTTTGAGAATCTCTGGGTTAAGGTGATTTTGCCCTCATCCTATGAAGATTGACCAAAGTTTGGGGGAGAATCTTTTCTTTTAGTTTTTGGTTCAACTATGATATTTCCATGCCAATATTTCTCAGGACATAAGTTGGCCACCAGAATGTTTAACTGGAATGGTTTAGGTGTATGCCATCTCAGGGAAAACCTGAAAAAACTATTTTTGGACTACTGCTCTATATTGTCTGACCCAGTCTACCAAAGTGTCTATTTCTACACTGCCAGTAACTTTCTCCAAGATATATCAGTGCCAGTTTTTTTGCCCTTTGGTTTTGGTTAAAGCACCCTCATTCCACCTAATAAGATTTAATCATTTAATCCAAGTGAGAAAAAAAAATCATTTCAGTTCCTTCCCTCATAAAAGCTTCTGATGCCTTATGAAAATTTATTCATTCCTATTTTTTAACTTGATGCTCTGAACATCAGTAGTTTAATGGAAAGAAGGTAGACATTATAAACTATCTCTCTCTGCCATATTGGAAATCTAAAAGGAGGAGACATATATTAAGTCCTGTTAGCTCAGTGTCATATGAACTGAGTGTTTGGTGAAGCCATGATGCAGCCTTACCTATGTGTCTCATAAAAGCATACTGTGTTTATTCTACTGCCACTCAGATACAAGTAGAGCTTGTCCTATCCTATATAATAAAAGGCTAATATGCAAATTGTCCCCTCAACCAGGAGTTCAACTGGAAGTTGGACCAGGGTGGGGGGGCAGCCAACCAACTGCCCGTGTCCCCGCTCCCCTGGCCAGCCCCACCCCCAAACAGGGGTGGGGCCGGCCCACCAACTGCCCACAGTCCCTCCCCCAGCTGGCCTCGCATCCGATTACCCCCTGCCCAATTGGGGGTGGAGCAGCTGACCAACTGCCCATGGTCCCTCCCTTGGGCCACCCTGGCCCAAATAGCCCTGTTTGGGGCAAGCCTGCTGGACCCCACTCATGCACGAATTTATAGTTTTTAATATATTAAGGATCAAATCTTTATTTTATGTAGGACTCTTTTTTTCCTGTTTGCTTGAAGTAGTTTATAGCTGACATTTACTAGTATTTCAGTAGTTTTTAGCAGGTAAACTGTTAACCTTCTGAAGAATGTGATTAACAACCCCTGTTATAGTAGTGATTGGTGAAAATCCAAATGGTACTATTTTTCTCTGAAAGAATTTATTTCTGGTAACTGTAAGGCAAGAGAGTATTTGCTTGCAAATACTTAGATTTGCATTTTATTTCTAACTAGAGGCTCGGTGCCCGGGGTTCGTGCACTGGTAGGGGGCATGGCCTGTGGAGATGAGCTCGCTGTGGGAGCGCCTCTCATCCTGGGCCAGCTGAGCAGCTGTGGATCTGCCCTCTGAGCAGCTGCACTGTGGGAGTTCACTGACCATGAGGTGGGGCAGCTCCTGAGTTGAGGGTCTGCCCCTCTTGTGGTCATTGTGCGTTATAGCGACTTGTCGACTGATCATTCTTGTTGTTCCGCTCTTCAGTTGCTGGGCTTTTATTATATAGGATTAGAGATTTTCTGAAGATTCGCACAATAGGCCTTTCTTCCCCTGACTGCTGGCACCGGTTTTCCTCCGGCACCCGGGATCCAGGCCTTTGGTCCAGCCGCAGGGGAGAAACCAACCCTCTTCAGTCTTCAGTCTTCAGTCTTCACTCTGGCCAGAGACTTCAATCTTTGCTCCGTGCCTGCATATGCAAATTAACTGCCATCTTTGTTGGGTTAATTTGCAGAGTTGCTTTGATTGGCTGGTGAGTGTAGCGGAGTGATTTGCATGTTTCTCTTTTATTAGTGTAGATTTGTAGTTTCATTAGTATCAATGCTTTAATTATGATATTTATAATGACCAAATTACCATTGAAATGATAGTCTGTTACCTATAACATATAAGAGATATAATAACATTCATTTTAGAAAATGGTGCTATCTGTAGCTTCTAATCTTTGGGCCTTGCTTCTTATTGAACAAGCAGTGCATGAATATTGAGGTATTTCAATCCTGATTTTTTTCATAAGCAGGTTATAGTACTAAGCTCGAATTTGAGTCAGGTTGCAAATTCTCTTTCAATACAGGTGCTATATGTATAGGTGTTATATTTATTTTCGTTGGATCAATTTATATTTAAAGTTTGTTAGCAATGTGTTAAGGTTAGTTTAGCTCAGACATTAGTGATGTCTTAGATTGTAAGGTCCTAGGTCCAGAGACTGTTATCTCTAAAGCTTATGTTATATGCTACGAGTAAGATTTTAACAAATTTGACTATTTAGAAATTTTGCTAATAAAAGTGATTAAAACCCCAGATAATGCCTGGCTTGCTGCTATTTATTTATTTATTTATTTATTTGAACATCTTATTATAGATTCAGGATATACATAGCAGAGTGGGGTAGTCTCATATACTGTTAATTTTTTGTTTTACTTCTAACTTTGGGGCATCTAACCTCCATAACTCTGAATAGAGGCCAGGGCTATTTGCTTTCATTGTAAAAAAGAATGTTCATAAGTTGGATGTCTGTTAGTACTGAGTGCTATTTTTTTATACTAGTGTGTATATAGACAGAAGGCAGAGAAAGGTGTAGAAATGGGGAGGAGGAGCAGGTGGAGAAAGAGAGAGAAATAGTAATAAAAAGACTACAGGGTCTGGATTGACCTGTATTTGCTCCAGAGTTATATACAGTAAATATAGTTTACTGAGCAATGTTTTCTTAAGTCAGTAAGAAAATCAGTCTCTTTAGGACTTCTAGTTAATACTTTAAAATTTAAATTAATTAAAAATTTAAAATAAATGAATTCATTTACAAAATAATGATTTGTTGTATTATAAAATTCAAAGACTTTTATTTAATCATCCGAATTCAGCACTTTGGAAAATAATGAGCTGCTAAATCTTAAAGCTAACCCTTGCTAACTATAGAAAACATGAAAAATTCTTTTTTAATTAAATTTATTGCAGTGACATTGGTTAATAAAATTATATAGGTTTCAACGCACATTTCTATGATGTATATTTCATTGTGTGTTTACCACCCAAAATGAAATCTTTGGTCACCATATATTTGATTCCCTTTATCCTTTACTACCTCCCCATCCTCCTCCCCCTGGAAACCATCATACTGTTATCTGTGTCTATGAGGTTTTTTTATTTTTACTTAAATTATTTATTTTTTAAAGTATTACATAAGTCTCCTTTTTTTCTGCATTGACCTCTCCCCAGCCACTCCCACCCCCAGCTCATGCCCTCACCCCGCTACTGTCTGTGTCCATTGGTTATGCTCATATTTATGTCTATGAGTTTTTGTTTGTTTGTTCATTTGTTGCTTTCAGGTTTATAACTCATACTAGAATCCTGGTGCATGAAATTCGTGCACAGGTGGGGTCCCTAGGCTTGGCTGGTTATCAGGGCTGCTCAGTTTCCCTGCCTTCCCCTTCCCTCGCCGCCCACACACCGCCACTGTGTGGTTCTCCGCCTCCGCACCCCCTCTCCCCTCCTCCTTTCCTTGCTGCTCATGTCTGCTGCCACCCACCCCTGGTTCTCCATCCCAGCCTGGGTGATGAGGGCCTGCCAGCCTGGGGAGGAACCCAGGTGGTTGTCCGTTGACCTCAGGAGGGAGCCGGCCCTCGGTCCCCCTGGGAAAGGGGCTGTGTCCACTGTTAACCCACCCACAGTTCTCTATCCCACCCTGGGGCCTGCTGTCGGGAGGACGGACTGGGAGGGTGGCCAGCAGGCCCCATTGGCAATCGGGGCCTGTGGGCTGGGGGCAGCTCCTCCGTTGAGCATCTGCCCCCTGGTGGTCATTGCGCGTCATAGTGACCGGTCGTTCCGGTCGTTCTGTTGTAGCAGTCACTTAGGCTTTTACATATATGGATAGATATGAGTTAAGTCATGTGGTTTTTGACTTTTTCTGTCTGACTTATAGGATAATATTCTCAAGACCCATACATGTTGGCTAAGCGGCATTCCATTGTATATATGTATCACATCTTTTTTATCTAATCATCTATTGAAGAATGCTTTAGTTGTCTTGATCACTGTGAATAATGCTGCAGTGAACATAGAGGTGCTGGGTCATATGGTAACTCTATTCTTAACTTTTTTAGGAACCTCCATACTGTTTTCCATATTGGGAGTCCCAGTTTACATTTGCACCAGAAGTGAATGAGGGTTTCTTTTTCTCCACAACCTCTCCAACACTTGTTATTACTTGTCTTGCTGGTATCTGATTATAGTTTTGATTTGCATTTTCCTAATAGCTAGTGAAGTTGAACATCTTTTTATGTATGTGTTGGCCATTTGTATGTCTTCTAAGGAGAAGTGTCTGTTCAGGTCCTTTTCCCATATTTTAATTGGATTGTTATTTTTTGTTGTTGAGTTGTATGAATTGTGTATATTTTAAATATTAACCCTTTGTTGGAGCTGCTGTTTGCAAATATTTTCTCCCATTTGGTTGGTTGCCTTTTTTAAAACATATTTTAATTTCAGAGAGGAAGAGAGAGTAAGAAACATCAATGATGAGAGAGAATCACCTCCCACACACCCCCAACTGATTGAACCTACAACCCGAGCATGTGCCTTTCACCGGAATTAAATCTGGGACTCTTCAGTCTGACACTCAGGCTGACACTCTATTCACTGAGCCAAACTAGCTAGGGCAACCTTTTTGTTTCCTTGATTTCTTTTGCTGTGTAGAAACTTTTAGTTTGATATAGTCCCATTTATTTACATTTGCTTTTACTTCCCTTGTCTTTGGGGTCAAATTCATAAAATCCTCTCTAAGACCAAGGTCTGTAAGTTTAGTACTTATGTTATCACCTATGTAATTTATTGTTTCAGGTCGTATATTTACGTCTTTGATCTATTTTTAGCTAATTTTTGTAGATGGGACAAAAGCAGTGTAGTTTCATTCTTCTGCATGTGGCTTTCCAATTTTCCCAACACCATT